AGCTCGCCATCCCTGGGGGGCTGCGATCTGTGAAACTGTCGCCACTTTCGAGGCCTGCTGGGGGGCCCAGCACAGTGACGCCACGCGCGGACTCACATTAGACCTCGCCATCCCTGGGTGGCTGCGATATGTGAAACTGTCGCCACTTTCTAGGCCTGCTGGGGGGCCCAGCACAGTGACGCCACGCGCGGACCCAAATTAGAGCTCGCCATCCCTGGGGGGCTGCGATTCGTGAAACTGTCGCCACTTTCGAGGCCTGCTGGGGGGCCCAGCACAAGTGACGCCACACGCAGATTCAAACTAGACCTCGCCGTCCCTGGGGGGCTGCGATCTGCGAAACTGTCGCCACTTTCGAGGGCTGCTGGTGGGTCCTGTGGAGTGAGGCACCGCGCAGATCTGAGCGGGACTTGGCCGTCCCTGAGGGGCTGCGATCTGCGAAACTGTCGCCACTTTCGGTGGGTCCTGCGGAGTGCGGCACCGCGCACATCTGATGTAGACCTCGCCGTCCCTGGGGGGCTGCGGTCTGCGAAACTGTCGCCACTTTCGAGGGCTGCTGGTGGGTCCAGCGGAGCGAGGCACCGCGCAGATCTGAGCGGGACCTCGCCGTCCCTGGGGGGCTGCGATCTGCGAAACTGTCGCCACTTTCGAGGGCTGCTGGTGGGTCCTGCGGAGTGAGGCACCGCGCAGATCTGAGGCAGACCTCGCCGTCCCTGGGGGGCTGCGATCTGCGAAACTGTTGCCACTTTCGAGGGCTGCTGGTGGGTCCAGCGGAGTGAGGCACCGCGCAGGTCTGAGCAAAACATCGCCGTCCCTGGGAGGCTGCGGTCTGCGACACTGTCGCCACTTTCGAGGGCTGCTGGTGGGTCCTGCGGGGTGAGGCACCGCGCAGATCTGAGGCAGACCTCGCCGTCCCTGGGGGGCTGCGATCTGCGAAACTGTCGCCACTTTCGAGGGCTGCTCGTGGGTCCAGCGGAGTGAGGCACCGCGCAGATCTGAGCGGGACCTCGCCGTCCTTGGGGGGCTGCGATCTGCGAATCTGTCGCAACTTTCGAGGGCTGCTTGGGGGTCCAGCATAGCGATCTGCGGAATTGTAACCACTTCCGAAGGCTGCTGGCGGGTCCAGCGCAGTGAGGCACTGCGCAGATCTGAGCGGGACCTCGCCGTCCCTGGGGGGCTGCGATCTGCGAAACTGTCGCCACTTTCGAGGGCTGGTGGGTCCTGCGGAGTGAGGCGCCGCGCAGATCTGAGCGGGACTTGGCCGTCCCTGAGGGGCTGCGATCTGCGAAGCTGTCGCCACTTTCGAGGGCTGCTGGTGGGTCCTGCGGGGTGAGGCACCGCGCAGATCTGAGCGGGACCTCGCCGTCCCTGGGGGGCTGCGATCTGCGAAATTGCTCCCACTTTCGAGGGCTGCTGGTGGGTCCAGCGGAGCGAGGCACTGAGCAGATCTGAGCGGAGCCTCGCCGTCCTTGAGGTGCTGCGATCTGCGAAACCGTCGCAACTTCCGAAGGCTGGTGGCGGGTTCAGCGGAGCGAGGCACTATGCAGATCTGAGCGAGACATCGCAATCCTTGGGGGGCTGCGAACCTCACGAATGCCGCTCGCAAAAGTATATGCGCCCATGTCACGTCAGCACCTCCGTATACCGTCTCCTAAGCTACTCATGCCCCGCATTGCGCAGGGGTTGGGTACGTCGCCGGGGTAATTTAACACTGCTATTACTACTACTACTACTACTGCTACTACTACTACTACTACTACTACTACTACTACTACTACTATTACTACTACTACTACTACTACTACTACAACTACTACTATTACTATTACTACGACGGCTACTACTACGACTGCTACTATCATGATGGTCATCGTATTAATAGTAGTAACAATATTTTTGATGACGCGAACAATACAGTCACTAGTACTAGTAATACGAGTACGAGTAAGAGTAATACGATTAGAAATATTAATAGTAATACTCGTATTATCAGTAATAGACATAGTAATATTACTAGCTAGCATGATGAATAGTACTAGTAATAATAATATCAGCAGTCTCATTCATGCTACTAATCATAACAGTACCAATAAATTCATTAATATGGAAAGCTGCTGGTCACAATACTGCTACTACTAATTTTAATTCCCTACCTAGGCTCTGCTTAGAAGGGTTCTTACTCTCTTAGCTTAAAGGGGCCGGGCAATGGAAAGCGCCCCGGGCGGTTCCCCCGGTCCCCTGGGAGCGGTTCCCCCCAGTCCCCTGGGAGCTTTAGCTTTAGCTTTAGCTTTAGCTTAGCTTTAGCTTAGCTTTAGCTTAGCTGTAGCTTAGCTTTAGCTTAGCGTTTCGCTTAGCTTTTCGCTTAGCGTTTAGCTTAGCTTTAGCTTAGCTTTAGCTTAGCTTTATATTAGCTGTAGGTTAGCTGTAGCTTAGCTTTAGCTTAGCTTTAGCTTAGCTTTAGCTTAGCTTTAGCTTAGCTTTAGCTTAGCTTTAGCTTAGCTTTAGCTTAGCTTTAGCTTAGCTTTAGCTCAGCATTAGCTTAGCATTAGCTTAGCTTTAGCTTAGCTTTAGCGTAGCTTTAGCTTAGCTTTAGCTTAGCTTTAGCTTAGCTTCAGCTTAGCTGTGGCTTAGCTTTAGCTTAGCTTCAGCTTAGCTTTAGTTTAGCGTTACTGTTACTACTAATGCTGCTTTCCTAGGGGTTCCAACTCCTAGGTAGGGTCGCACTGGGATAATTTCAACCGTTATATAGGTAATACGGATCAGAGTAAGAATGCCAAACTGAGATACATAGTATTCATACGTAATGCTAATAATAATCGTGGTATCAAGATAAACAATAATATCATTAGTATTAACCATAAGGGGAATAGTTATACAATCACATACTACTAGTGTACCAATACTACTACTACTACTACTACAACTACTACTACTACTACTACTACCACTACTACTACTACTACTACTACTACTACTCCTACTACTACTACTACTACTACTACTACTACTACTAGTACTACGACTACGACTACTACCTACTACTACTACAACTGCTACTACTACGACTACAACTACGACTACGACTACCACTACTACTACTACTTCTACTACTACTACTACTGCTACTACTACTACTACTACTACTACTACTACTACTGCTACTACTACTACTACTACTACTACTACTACTACTACTACTACTACTACTACTACTACTACTACTACTACTACGGGTGTCAATCACAGTAATGATATTAGTATGATCAAGAATATTACCAATAATGATAACACCAGTGCTACTACTAATGATAGTATTATTACTGTTACCGATGATAATCGTATTATTCGTAGTAGGGAGAACAGTAACAATGACATACCAGTAGTAATATTACGAATCATATTAGTATTACTCATAGTTCTAAGGCTAAGGCTACTAATACTAGGAACAATACTAAGAAGGTGAAGATAATGCTAAACACAACAAGAAAACGAATAATGGTAATACTGTTATTCATGGTGCTAAGACGATGAGGAGGTGGAGGAGGAGGAGCAGGAGCAGGAGCAGGAGAAGGAAATGAGCAGGAACAGGAACAGGAGCAGGAGCAGGAGCAGGGACAGGAGCAGGAGCAGGAGGAGGAATTGGAGGAGGAGGAGGAGGAGGAGGAGGAGGAGGACGAGGAAAAGGAGGTGGAGGATGAGGAGGAGGAGTAGGAGGGGGAGGGGAGGAGGAGGAGGAGGAGGAGGAGGAGGAGGAGGAGGAGGAGGAGGAGGAGGAGGAGGGCGGAGGAGGAGGAGGAGGAGGAGGAGGAGGAGGAGGAGGAGGAAGAGGAGGACAAGGAGGAGGAGGAGGAGGAAGAGGAGGAGGAGGAGGCGGAGGAGGAGGAGGAGGAAAAGGAAGAGGAAAAATGAGGAGGAGGCGGAGGAGGAGGAGGAAGAGGAGGAGGAGGGCGAAGGAGGGAGGATACGGGGCGGGCGGAGAATGGAAGTTACGGGTGTAAGATGGAACATCGTGGGCTGGGCATGGACGAGGATTATTTCCAAATGGAAGTGGGGGAAGGGGCTCTGAGCAGGAATGCGAACCAGAACACAAGCAGGAGGACGTGGAGGGTTTTGTGAATCCTGGGGGTCTCGAGGCCCACGAAAAGATGCTGTATGTTCCAGCGGGTTAGGGGGTGAAGGTTACTTTTTGTGACCCGTCTGCTCCAGCCTTCGCTGTGCGAGATGAAGCGCAGGGTGGCGCGGGCGGGGTCAGCAGCGGGATCCTTGGCCTTGGCCTGCCAGGCGGCGATTTGTTGGCAGGGCGGTGGTTTCAGGTGGCCAGAAATGGGCTGTTCCGCTGCCGGTGGAGGCGGCGCCTGGTTGCCTTTCGGTGGCTGGGGCGGTGTCGGCTGGTGGTTTGTTGTGCCGGTAGAAGTGTGGTGCTTGAGCCAGCTGCTACTGCTGCGGCGGCCACTGGGGATGGAGAGGGTCGGGGCCCTCGGAAGCCCGACGCGAGGCTCCTCGGGAGTGTCGGTTGGCCTCCTGGGGCTTGCCGGGGGTCTTCGGGCCACCCTGCAGGACCTGGCGGGCGTCTCGGGGAGTCGCGGGGCAAGCTGGCGCCCCCCCCTGTTGTGAAAACGCACGAAGGACAGTTTTTGGCAATTTTCGGCCTCGTCAAGATGAAACACCGTTCCCGGGAAAAGGGTCCAGAGCTCTTGGGGCTCACGTGGCGAAGGATCTCGACGTCGGTGGTTTTGACATTAAAGGATTTTTTTGGCCTTCCCACGGACGTTTTCTGTCCACCTTAGGCCAGTCCTGGGTTGTCTTGGCACGGCTCTTGGTTTCGGGCGCGGGTTCTCGGTTTGATTGGGCTCAGTGTATGCTTTTTGGGGTCGCAGCCCCGTGTGAGTTTCATCCATCCAATCACCTCTTCACGCTTCTCTCCTTCTGGCGGTCAATCCGTGGTCACACCCATCCCTTAGCTCTCATGGCCGCTTATCATGCGGCACGTCGCCTCTTCCGAGGTCACCGTTTTCTCAGTGCTGATGGCCGGGAAGTTCCTGATGCTTCTGTTGAATTCCGTGGCAGTTTACTACGTTAGCGAAGGCCAGACCGTTGAGGATCGCCGCTTTTGCTTGGGTGGGGTCCCCCGACCGCTTGACTGATGGCAACTGCGCTTCGACGCTTACTTCCAACGATCGGATCGTTAGGGTTCTTATATTCTAGACGCTTCGCGTAACCCCACCAGCCCATCCAGAAACGATGCCCAGAGGAATTGCCTCGATCAGGGAAGTGGGCAGCACACAGAGGAAGGGTCCCCCAGTGGAGGCCTCTTGGAGCGTCTTGGGTGCCTCGGAGAGCTTCTTGGGGCCTCGTGGGGGTCTCTTGAGAGCATCTTGGAGGCCTCTTGGGCGCCTGTTGGGGCCTCCTGGGCGCCTCTTGGGGCCCTCTTGAAGCGCTCTTGGGAGCCTTGGAGCGCCCATGGGGCCATCTTGGGGGGCATCGATCAAACAAGAAGCAAGCATTAGTAGCGTTGCCCCTCGGGAGCCCAAACAATCGCCTCCTGGGGCGCTCTTGGGACGCTCTTGGAGCGCTCTTAGGCGCTCTTGGGGCCGCCTTGGGGCTCTCTGGAGCCTTTCTTGGAGCCCTCTTGGGCCATCTTGGAGCCATCTTGAGGCCTCGGATGGCCATCGGACGCGAAAAGGCGAAAAAGCCAAACACATAGAATTTCCGCAGGTGTTGGCCCCTTCGGGGCCTCCTGGGGGAGCTCTTTGGCCACTGGGAGCCGTCTTGGAGCCGTCTTGGGGCATCTTGGAGCATCGTGGGAGCCATTCTGAGACATCTTGGGATATCTTGAGCCATCTTGGAGGTCATCTTGGGCTCTCCCAGGCGCTCTTGGATTCATCTTAATCAGTGCCCCCCCAAGAGGCCAACATGTGGCTAACACCTTAGTATAATCAATGATTCGGCATTCTCGCCGAGGCCTCTTGGATCATCTTGGGTGCCTCTGGGGGGTCTGTTGGGGCTTCCCTCTTGGGGCTTCCTGGCCACCTCTTGGGGCCCTCTTGGGGCACCCTTGGGAGCCTTGGGGGCCATCTTTAGGCCATCTTGGGTAAGATCGATCACAGGAGGGGGGGCACTAATTAGGGTCCCCCCCTCAGGAGGCCCAAATGGCGCCAAACCCGAAGTAAAACCAATGATTTGGGTTTCCTCGCCGGACGCTCCGACACCTCGCGGAACCCCCTGTCCAGGTCCATGGGGAGGGGGTAGGGGGAGGGGTAAACCCCTCCCCGAAGGGGAAGAAGGAGGGGTGGACGAGGAAACTCCCCAAACCACCGACGCCCAGAGGGCTTGTGGGATTCGAAATATCCTAAGTCAGGATCACATGGTCTGTGGAAGTGTCCAGCAATAGCCTTGTTTTAGAATGAAGTCGCCCTCCATCCGAGCAGGTGATGCAAGTTTAAAATTCTGGTGACACATATTGAGGTTTCTCATACGAAAACCCGCATGTGAATGAAGAAGGCGCTACCAACCATCCGAGTCATTATTCGACAAGTTCAAGCTGATGCTGACCGAGATCCTCATTTGATTGAAACTGTACAGCCCTCAATCCGTGTAGATGTTGCGCAGTTCGAACCCGATAACTAGGTGATTAAAGTTGAGGCCGTGAAGGTGTGTTGCAAAATCAACGTGTCATGGTTTCGCGTATTCCCACCAGCCCATCCAGCAACTATTCATAGGCGAGTTGCCCTCCGCCTCCGCTCAGCTTCCTCCTCCTGCGGCTGCTACGTTCGCGTCAGATTGGGATGTCTCTGGACGCAACCTCATACCAGCACGCACCTCGACAATGGCGCTGTCGCGCTTGTGCCCCGACTGCAGCTTTCACGAGGTGTGAGAGTCCAGTGGTTCGGTCGCGGCCCCCCTGTTCTCCCCCTTCCCCTCTCCAAACATATGCGCTCGAACATAAATCAGGACGAGGTGGACGTGGAGGAGGAGGAGGAAAAGGAGGAGGAGGAGGAAGAGGAGGAGGAGGAGGAAGAGGAGGAGGAAAAAGGGACAGGAGAGGATGGAGGCGGATGAGGAGGAGGAGGCGGGCGGGAGGGAGGGAGGGAGACGGAGACGGAGGGAGGAGGGAACCACTACGGGGCGAGCTGCCGCAACCGTGGAGGTGCAGGGCCACACATGGAAGCGCAGAGAGAGAGAGAGAGAGAGAGAGAAAAAGAGAGAGAGAGAGTGCACATATATATATATATATATGTATATATATATAGAGAGAGAGAGAGAGAGAGAGAGAGAGAGAGAGAGAGAGAAAAAAGAGAAAGAGAAAGAGAAGGAGAGAGAGGGCGGCCGCCCTGGCCACGTGCGCGCTCCCCTCTCGGTGTCTTCCTCGGTAGGCCGAAGGGCCTCCCGTGCACCCGGGGGCGCCGCGGAGGACGTGTCTCGGTCGACCTCCTGCGCTCCTCGTGGCAGCGGGGGCGCGGGACGAGGCCGACGGCCGACCACGGGCCCTGGTTTGCAGAAGTTGCCCCCTCCTCCTCCTCCCCCCTCCTCCTCCCCCCTCCTCCTCCCCCCTCCTGCTCCTCCTCCAGCTCCTCCAGCTCCTCCTCCTCCTCCTCCTCCTCCGATCTGACGTCTGCCGACCTGTTTTTTTTCAGTCCGTGGCCCCATGGGGGCCCAAATCGCCTGCTTCCCCGCAGGGGCAGGACCTCGTCCCGGACCCGTTTCTGCTGGGGGGGGGCCCAGAACCTTCGGCGCCACCCAAGCATACTGACATTCCCTTCACCTCGGCCTTCCATACCTGCCGACCTCCGCGGAAGGCGCGACAGGTGATGCGTGGGAGCGATCGAAGACCTGAGGGAGCTCGAGAAAACTCAGCGTGTTCCACGAAGTGCAAGCGTGTGGAAGGTCAGCGCGGAAGGTCTGGCAGAACGAGGGCAAGGGCCGTGCGTGCGTCGCCCCCAGATGGGGGGACCCGCGCGCTCAGAAATCCTACGGTGCGTTCTCCGTGCTGGGCGCTTCCTGGCCATGCCGTTCGGGCAGCGATGTGCTATGATATTGTGCACCATGTGTTCGGGTCGGACTTGCGTCTCCGGCAGAGGCATATACTATCGAAGACGCCTACGGCCCATGCCTCCACCGTGCCTGGGTTGAGGGTCAGAGTCCTGGCGTATGCTTCTTGGGGTCTCTTCGGAGGCCTCTCGGGGGCCTCAGAGGGGCAGTTTTGAGGCCTCTTGGGAGCCTCCTGGGGTCTCTCGGGTGCCTCCTGGGACTTCCTGGGGGCCTCTTGGGGACCTCTTGGGGCCTCGGGGCCTCTCCGGGCTTTCTTGGGGGCCTTTGGGGGCTTCCTTGTGGTGCCGTCTGCGTGCCCCCCCGCGCTCCCCCCCAAGAAGAGGCCCCCCCCCCCCCGCGTCCTCCCCAAGAAGAGCCCCCCCCCGCCCCCGCGAGGGCCCCCAAGCAGAGGCCCCCCCAAGAAGAGCAGAGGCCCCACCCCAAGAAGAGGCCCCCCCCGCCCCGCCCCCCCCCCCCCAAGAAGAGGCCCCCCCGCGAGGGCCGAAGGCGAAGACACGCCTCCTGCCGAGGGCCTGGGCAGCGGGCTCCCGCGAGCCGGTCGGCGGCTCTGGCGCGCCCAGGGCCCCGCGCGCACGGAGCATCCGGGGGACCCGCCTTTGCGGCCCGCAGGGGCCGCGCGTTTCGTCGTCTTTTGTTGATTATGTTTTTTTCTCTCCTCTTATATATATATACACACAAAATAGTAGGGCGGAGGCGGCGATCGCGAACATGGATCAAGGGGGCGTGGATTATCGACGGGTCCCGTTTCCATTGGAGATCGTGAGTTGCCGCCGCCGAACGAGGCGGCACCGGCCACATTTTGGGGAGGGCACCTCCCCCGATCCATGGATTTGGCGACCGCGTGCCAAATCCATGGATCGCTAATCCATGCTTGCGCGCCCTCGATATATGTGCGTCGCCCCCCCATGGGGCGACGCGCGCACAGAGAAATCTTGAAGCATATACGTCGTGGCGGGCGCTTTCTGGCCACACCGATCGGGAAACGATATACTACAAGATAGGTATGCTATATGTTCGAGTCGGACGCGCGCCTCCAAGGAGGACATAGTGCTAGTACGTCTCTGTGCGTCCCAGCTCGGGCGTCGGCAGCGGCGTCGTCGGCGACGGCGACGGCACATCCTTCGAGATGCGAGGCTCGAGGCTCGAGGCTCGAGGGGCGCATCCTTCGAGGTGCGAGGCTCGAGGCTCGAGGGGCGCATCCTTCGAGGTGCGAGGTTCGAGGTGCGAGGCTCGAGGCTCGAGGCTCGAGGGGCGCAGGCAGCCCGGGCTCGAGGATCGGGGTTTTCCCGGCGCTCTTGTCGGTCCTCTGCGGCCTGCCGGCTCCGGGCTGCCTCCCAGCGGCCGCGCCTCTCTCGAGGGCGTTCCGGGGGTGCACGGGTCGTCCAGGTCGGCCGCCGGAGCGTTCGGGGGTGCACGGGTCGTCCAGGTCGGCCGCCTGAGAGCCCGAAATTCTCAGGGGTGTGGGCCGACCCTGAAATGTCGGCGTTTTTTTTTTTTTTTTTTTTTTTTTTTTTTTTTTTTTTTTTTTTTTTTTTTTTTTTTTGCAACGGGCGACTTTGCACAGTTCTGGGTAGATGGGCCGACCCTGAGATGTTGGCGTCTTTTTTTCTTTCTTTTTTTTGTTGCAACGGGCGACTCTGCACAGTTCTGGGTCCCGGGACCCTCACAGATCGATCTGGCTCCAAATTTGGCGCAGAAAGATGGGGCCCAGGGCTCCCCGTGGAGCGTTTCTACGACGCTGCATCTTTCTCGTGGCGTCGGACCTCCCGGCAGGCAATGGCGACGGCGGCGTCGTCGACGACGCGGGCGATGGGGACCAGTGTGCGATAGAGAATTTGGACTCAGCATGCATGTCGCGCCGCCAGTTCTAGCCGATTCTCATTATTCGGCACGTTCCTTAGCATCCCAGGTGTTTCGCCAGGCCTCCAGTGCCGCGCGCTTGCCGCCTCGAATGCAGCCTCCGGGGCGAGACGCGCGGGCAGCCTTCAGGGCATGGGTGACGCAGGGGCCGCCGCCGCGACACGCTGAGCGCAGGTTCCTGACCGGAAGTAGCTCCCCCTCGTGCCCGAAGGAGTGCCTCCGGAAGCTCCTCAAACCCGAGGCCGAGGCGCAGGCTGAGGAGAAGAAGGACGATTAGGCCAGATTGGGGGGGAAGGGGGGAGGGTTTGGGGGAGGAGGGGAGGGGGAGGGGGAGGAGGAGGAAGAAGAGGAGAGGAGGAGGAGGAAGGAGGAGGAGGAGGAGGCGGAGGAGGAAGAGCGAGGAGGAAGAGGAGGAGGAGAGGAGGAGGAGGAGAGGAGGAGGAGGAGGAGGAGGAGGGGAGGAGGAGGAGGTGGAGGAGGAGGAGGAGGGGGAAGACGTGGTGACCCTGCGAGGGGCAGGTGTGGGGTAAGCCCGCCCTGCGCAGTGCTGTACAGGTGGCTGCTGGGAAGAGGCCAAGGCTCAGGGCAGCCGCCTGAGGCCAGCGGGTCCGCCATGGCCACGGATGGCACTCGGCGCGGTGACTTTTGGGAGGGCTCCTGATGTCATCGACTCTCTTTCTGCCAGTTTTTCTGGGATCTGCTTTGAGCTATCTTGGGCGATGCTGGAGCCATCTCAGGAGAAGGAGGAGAAGGTGGAGGCGGAGGAGGAAGAAAACAAATAAGACACAACAGAAAAAGAGGATGATGATGATGATGATGATGATGATGATGAGGAGGAGGAGGAGGAGGAGGAGGAGGAGGAGGAAGAGGAGAAGGAGGAGGAGCAGGAGCAGAAGCAGGAGCAGGAGCAGTAGCAGGAAGAGGATGATGGGAGGAGGAGTAGTAGGAGGAGGAGGAGGAGGAGGAGGAGGAGGAGGAGGAGGAGGAGGAGGAGGAGGAGGACGGTTGGACGGCGGAAGAGGCGGTGGAGGGGGTAATGCAGAGGGTGGTGTCCAGGTATGCTTTCTCCTTCGTCCCTCCTGAATACGTAGGCCCCTCGTCCCTTCAGAGCTCCGGCGTCCTGATTTTTCACGACGTCGAACTCCAGAGATGTCGACCAATTCCCAGGGGCTGGCTTCTGATCCAGAGCCGTTTTTTTTGACGGCCCCCAGGCCTGCTGAGGGCTCCGAACCGCCCTTTCGAGACGACTCGGGCCCTCCAGGAACTCTCTGCGAGGCGCAGCATCCAGAAAGCACTCCGAGGCCGGAAAACCCAGGAGCGGACGAACATTGTCCGAAAGGGAGGAGGAGGAGGAGGAGGAGGAGGGGGAGGAGGAGGGGGTGGAGGAGGAGGAGGAGGAGGAGGAGGAGGAGGAGGAGGAGGAGGAGGAGGAGAGGAGGAGGAGGAGGAGGAGGCGGGGGCGGCCCAGAACCACGGCCAGCGGTTGGCATTGGGGCCCCAGGCGGCCCTAAGTGCTATTTTTGTTTTTTTCTTTTTTTTTTTGCTTTTTTGTTTTTTTTTTTTTTTTCTTTTTCTTTTCCTTTTTTTTTTTTTTTTTTTTTATTTTTTATTTTTTTGTTTTTCTTCCGGGCAGGGCCCCGAGGATTCTCGGACGGCCCTCGAGGCCGCCAGGACGCCCCAGACGCCCCACGAGCGCGCCCAGACGCCCCACGAGCGCGCCCAGATGAAGAATCCCCCAAGACGCCCAAAGAGGGCTCCATGCCCCCCAGCCCCAAGAAGACAAATCGTCCCATTCTTGGAGGAAGGTTCACGTTTTCAGCATCTACGATTTTCGGGCTTCCACAGCGCTCTCGGCGGCCCCAGAGGCGCCAAAGAACGGCCCAAGACGGCCCAGTAGGCCCCCCAGATGGCCCAAGAGAGCCCCAGGACAGGCCCAAGATGGGTCCCAGAGGAAGGAAACCAAATTCAAATTTCGAGCCTTGGCCCCAGGGGGCCCCACGAGGCCCCCAAGAGGCCCCCAAGGGCCCCCCAGGAGGCCTCCAAGAGGCCCCCGGAGGTCCCCAGGAAGCCCCCAGGAGCTCCAAACTGGCTTCTAAGAGACTCCCCGAGGAACTTTTGAAATATACATCTACGATCTACGAGAGGCCTCTTGTCCACAACCTAGGCCTATTCCTGGGGCGCCGCCTGATCGGCACAGGTTTTGTTTCTATGTGTATCATGTGTCTGGATGTATGTACGTAGGTATGTATGCATACACGATTATACGTATGTGTTCATGCATGTGCGCATGTCAGAGGTAAGAGACATCACTTGTCCTGGCGAAGGGCCCACTCCTATGCAGCTGCGTGTAGTGCAGGGCGCGGCTCTCTCTTCAAATTCTGCGCGACCACTGGACAGGGGGTCGCGGAGCTAGCGCGCGTAGGCACGCTGAGTTTCTTCTTGGGCGCGATCCGCGTGAAGGGGGTGGCCACCGCGCGAGCGCGCCCACTGAGGCCGTACGCGGAGCTCCTTGTGGAGCGCGATCTGCGTGTAGCGGCGCCGAAACAGGCGTGCGGACGCCATGCGAAATTGTCCACGGGCGCCATAGATGGACGTCCTTGCGGGGTACGGTTCGCGTCAGGGGTGCGCCGAAGTATGCGGAGGGACGCAATGCGACCCCTCCTGTTGGAGCCGTCGGTGGAGCTCCCTAAAGGGGCGCGATCAGTGTGAGGGGTGTGCCGAGATGGGCGTGACGACGCCATGCGAACCTTTCTTAGGGGGCCGTAGGTGGAGCTCCCTTTGGGGCCACGGTCCCTGCCAAGGCGTTGGAGAACAGGCGCCCATATGGTTGTTCCCGGGGACCTCTCTGGGAGCATCCGGGCGGAGGAGAAGGAGGAGGAAGAGGCGGAGGCGGAGGAGGATGAGGAGGAAGAAGAGGAGGAGGAGGATGAGGGAACAAGAGGTGTAGCTGCAAAAGGAGGGGAGGAGAAGAAGCAGGACATGAGACAGAAGGAAAAGGCGGAGAAGGAGGAGGAGGAGCAGTAGGAGGAAGAGGAGGAGGAGGATGAGGACGAAGAGGAGTGACAGTTGAGTAACGAGGAGGAGGGAATGAAGAAGGAGAGAAGGAGCAGGAGCAGGAGCAGGAGGAGGAGCACGGGGAGGAGGAGCAGGAGCACGGGGTGGAGGAGGAGGAGGAGGAGGAGGAGGAGGAGGAGGAGG